GTCTGGCTGGGGCCTGCTCCACCCGGCCCCTTTTCTGATCGGGCGTGGGTCCCCAGGGGCCTGGGACACCTCCCCCAGGTGTTCTCCCAGACCCCAAGTCCCCCGATGTGTCTGGGTTTGCTTCCTTCTTCCCCATCTCCTGCTCCCCCTGCCCTCGGCACCTCCCGGGTGTCCCTGAGGCACCTCCTGAGACCGGCCTCAGCACCTCAGCCCTGGACCCAGGGAGCAGGATCCTGACCCTGCCTGCCCTTCCCAGCAGAAGGCCCTTCCTGGTGCCCACGCCCTCAATGAAGGGCGGCTCCCCAGCCGGCACCCAGGGTCCTGGCCACCAACCACCTGACCAGGCTCAGCCCTTCCTGCCGTGCTCCTCCGCACTCACACCTGGGCTGTGGGTGACCTGAATGCCCTGGGGCCCCGTGTCCCTGGCCCACCCCACCGCCTCTCTCCCTTCTCGCTCACCTCCCCCCAGCCTCCCTGCGCTCCTTCTCCCCCTGTCCCCCACCAGGTGCTGCCCCTCCGGCTACGCCTGCACCCCTCACCGAGCTCACCGCCTCCAGTAGCCAGCACCAGCGCCAGCAGCGCCAGCCATGTCCCCCGCATGGTCCGGTCCCCGCAGCTGGTGCTGGGCCTGCCTGGCAGGGATGACAAACACCCAGTGCAGCCACCTGACTGGTCAGCCAAATAGATTAGCGGGATCAGTTTTCCCGTGGGTGGCAGAGGTGCAGAGACCCGCCTACCCACCTACTGGGCCCCACCTGCCTGCACCTGGATGCCCCACTCCTCTGTGGTCCTCCCCCAGGCCCCTCCCTGCCCCTCCCTCACTCCTCCACCTCCTGCAGTCTGGGCCCCTCCCCACACCCTCAAGACCCCCCCCCCGCTTAGGGTTGGGGGGTCCTTACCCCCTTGTAACTCCCTCGGCCTGGGGCTCTCCGCCCTCCCCCTCCTCCCCTAACCTGGGACACCCTGGCCTTTGCATCTAGGGAAGACACTCCCCTCCAGAGGGTGGGGCTTCCCTGCACCCCAACTCCTGCCTCTGTCAGGCACCCCTTCCACCTTGGGTCCCACTGCTATCTCCAGGGCAGGTTCCTGGTCTAGTGGTTCTGGGTTTGAATCCTTCCGGGGTGCCCCAGCTCCCAGCACCCAGCTTCTCTGGAGTGGTCATGTGGGGTGTAGTGACAGAGGCGCTGACTGCCTGGACAGCCAGCCAAAATGTGCTCTGAGGCTTAAGGGGACAGAGACAGGAAAAGTGCTGGGTCAACAGAAAGGTCTTGGATGGCGGGCAGTGGGGTAGGGGCAGGGTCAACTTGGGGACGCTAATCCTGGTGTCCCCTGCAGGGACAGGCACACCTTGATTGGTAATGGGGCTGAGGGGGCTGCCCCTCAGGCAGGGCTCACCTGGCCCCATTGCAGGGCAGGAAATTGACAGCAAGACCCTCGCCCAAGACTCAGAGAGGGTG